TAGTGTTATCCAAAGATGACTGATCCTGGAGATAGCCAGGCTGGTGAGGATGCAGTCAGCTGATGAGAGCTTCTGACTCTTCACCCAGTCAATGCAGTTAACTAGTACAGTGAACCCATTCCCCAACATTCCAATTAGGAATTCTCCTATTGCTACTATCAGAAAAGTATTTTCAATTTTCTATTCTACAGATGGCGGCTCTGTGGAAAGAATCTAGAAGACTAATACTATGTGTCACTGATTTTTTGTTGTCAAAATGTAGAATAATATTGTTTGATACTTTTCACTTTTCTATTAAAAATGCTCAAAGAAACTCAGATACCATCTCACTTATATTCACAAAAGATCTTTCTCTTTTATTCCAGTTGTAGGTCTGAAATATGTGCAAGGAGATTCAGTTTCACAGATCTTAATGAAAACTTTAACATTACTTGCAATCAGCTACTGATTTCCAAATTAAACAGTAAATGTGCCACTCATCATTGGCACTGGCAGCAATTTTGTGAGGACATCTGAAAGAGTAGAGCCAGGTAGGGAAACATGCAAATATGAGACAGATTTCTTTGCATTGATTTGTACTTTCCTTTTCGGTTGAAACCCAATACCATTTGGATTCAAGTTTCTTAATTTTAATAGAGATCTCTAAAAATAATCTCTATAATACAGGCATTATTCATTAATTCCATTTAATAAAATCCATACTGTTTCAAATACTATTATAGATGAAATAAGTGTAATAAAGAGGAGCAACATCACGGAGCTCACAGAGTAGTGGAAAAGGCAACATTAAATAAACTATTACTATTGAACGTGACAAAAGTTGGACCAAAATGCAATTGCAAACAGAGGAGGGTGTATGAAACCTATGGTCCATAGTTAATTCTAGTTTCATGACTGTGGTGACAACTGGCCTGGGTCTTGAAGCTTTTTAGGATTTCTTGAAGAAATAGATAAAAAGAGAAATGATTTTCCAGAATAATGTAAAAGCATATGCAAAGGTACCAAAATTAGACCTCTCTCTGAGCTATTACTCTGAATTTTTGAGCTTTGTTTCCAGTTAGTTACTGCCTATTTGATTCTGAATAAGCTATTATCAGCTGAGAGGGGAAACAAATAGTAAATATATATATATATGTTTATATATATACATGGTAGAAAAAAAGGGGTGTGGGGTGTGGGAGGGAGGTTCTACTTTTCGTTAGTTCTGCTTTTGGTGAAATTCTTTGTTTCATAATTTACAGTAAAATATATTTTAGCTTGTTTTTTGCTTCACCAAACACGTAACTCTAATATGATGATTTGTCAATCCTGACTGCAAATTAAATTACCTAGGGAGCTTTAAATATATATATATAAATATAATGCCTGTGAGCCACCGCCCGGAGATTCTGACTTAATTGGTCTGGAATATATTGTTGGCACTCATTGAGAGCTCCTTGATGTGTACTTTACGGTGCCTCCTAAACCCAGGCAAAAATCTTTCAACCACAAGCCGCAAATCTATGAAGATTCTCCAGGAACAAGACAGGATTTTGCCCGCTTGTCTTGTGACAGTGCATTCCCCATTCAGCCAATTCTGACTCTAGTTTACAAATAACCTGTTTTGTGTTGGTCTCAGCCTGTCAATAGTGATGCTCTGGGCTAGGAATGCCTGAGGGACTCACCTGGGCCCATACTACTTGTGAGAGCCCTCACAGACATTTCCCCTCCAGAGCCAATGTTGTGGCTGGACCCGCCCTTGTGGTTCTTATGATTGCAAGACCTACCTCAGCAACAACCATCAGGGAACTTTGAAAAAATAAGGTTTATTACTTGCAGGTCCTGGAGGGTACACAGCATGCCCAAGGCCACACAGGGAAGTTGTGGGGGGGGGAGAGCGAGAAAGCACAGACCTGGGGTTCTCCCTTTATTGAGGTTGAGGGTGGGGTGCCTAGGGTTTCACAAGTTCACTCTTTATTGGCAAATTTAAAACATGAGTGAGATTTAGGGCTTGAGAAGGGGACAGTGGGGTCACTTGAGCCGTCAGTTGTCTAGGTTAACCAGGGCTTTCTAAAAGGGGAACTTCATGGGTGGGAGTGGCCTGGCTTCTTATCTAGGTATTTTACTAGTACTGTGTCATACAGCTGGCAATATGTTTATTCAAGATGGATGTCTTTGAAATGGATGCCTTGGCAATCAAAAGCTTAATAACAGGCACTTACACCATACAGCCTTAGCCACCAGTTACCTTGGCAATCGTGTAAGCTCTATGAGGGATGAGACTATTTTGTTGTTGTCTATTTCCAATTCCTAGAACAGGGAAGGCCTGGGAAATAGGAGGCCCTTAAAAACTGTTTGTTTAATGAATGAGTGCTAACTTAGTTGGTAATCCTATTGGAAGCACAGAAAAAGAGAAAATGAATAAGGCTTGACTGTGAAACTAGAAAGAGCAAGAAAAGAAACTCCTTAAAATTAGAGAAAATTTTACAACATATGTAAGAACTCATGAAAGATTTCTGTACTAACCCTGAAATAACCAACATTGCTCTCTAGTCTTCCTGGTTCAAACCAGAAGTCATACAGATCATAAAATCTTGCAGGTCTAGCACCCAGAATGTGGGGGCCTTTGTACTTTTCCTCATGAAAGAGAACTATTTCCAGCCCAGGGAGTTGAAGATAGGTAGAAAGCTCCAGATTTTGTGGCAGGGGAGCAAGAAGGCCCTAGAGATCACTGATGTTTTCAGTAATGCTCTGAAATTGTGTAGAAGGCTACCTGAGAAGAGGACTCCACTGGTAGGCATGGTTCAGCGGTAACAAAAACCAGATAGCAACAAGCCAACCAGGAGATGCTTAGTCATTAAAGATGCTTGAGTTCATAGTTACACTAAAGAAGAAACTCAATCTAAAGGATGTAATAACAAGTATAAAAATCACAAGTGCTGGGATCAGCCTGGTGGTGCAGCGGTTAAGTGCACGTGCTCCGCTTTGATGTCCCAGGGTTCGCAGGGTTGGATCCCAGGTGCGGACCAATGCACTGCTTGTCAAGCCATGCTGTGGCTGCATCCCATATAAAGTAGAGGAAGATGGGCACTGATGTTAGTCCAGGGCTAATCTTCCTCACAAAAAAATAAATAAATAAATAAAATCACAAGTGCCATAAACTATGAGTTAAATTCAAACTCCAAGCTAATAATCACATTTTTAAAAATCTGCATGACCACACATCTGTCTCAGCTCCTGGGTTAAATTGCCTTTATATGCCTCATGCTTAAAATGGTTGTGTTATGCATGATAAAGAAAAAGTGTTATTGTATGTATAAATATAAGGTATATTATTACAAAATGTTTGGGCAGATAATGATTAATTCAATATATGTATATGCTATAGTGACAATCCAAAATAATTAGTCTAAACTTAATGATGAGTATAATTGAAATCAGAAAATTTATAAACATTGATTTTATACTAATCAGTAGAAAGAATGACATTTCCTCCAAGAAATAATGAGAAAATACATTAAGTCCACTTTGGCATAATTCAAACAAAGTCCTGACCTCTGTAGTGATATTGAGTAATACTTATATAGTGATGAACTACTACTTGTATGAATGTAAATAAAGGTGATTCAACTGAAGATCTTATGAGCTCCTATGATTAATACTACCTTTTTTTGGCTTTAATTATTCCTGGTTCCTCCCTGTGTCTGTGAATCTCCAGTGAAATAACATACACAAGCTTTCTACTTGACTCTTTCTATTGTCTTTCCCCTCCCCAAGCCCACATTTTTAGATCTCCCAATAGTCTCAGAGAAGCCAGCAACAAATGCTCCCCTAGCTGTGATGCTCTCTCTGATCCTACAAATAGCAAGCTTTTCCATTTATTTGCAAGCAAAGAAATAGCCTCCTGGTTCTTTTTGATTCACAACTTGGAACTTTTGTACATTGACTTTAGCAACAATCCCTTTGATAGCTGCTAAATTAAAGTACTGGCCTTCGTCTTTTTTTAGGTAAAAGAGACCTTCACTGTTTCTTTGGCTGTACCCTAGCCCAAGAAGCAATGAGCTGGGGCCAGGGCCACAGCTTGAAGGCACAGAGATTTCATCATTCACAAATGGAGGATATTTGCCCAGCTTAATCACCGCTCTCCATGAACATCCTTGTATGTTTCATTGTAGATTTTTGTTTCACTTAGCGTACTACTTGCATTTTCAAAACTGAGGGCTATAGCTTTTTTCCTCAAAATCCTTAGAGGGCAAAAATATTCCCACTGGCTCTTCCTCGTGATAAACCTAAGACATGGCCAGGCTAACTTACTAACACCAACCCCCACGCTGGCAAGCATGAGTCTCATGCTCAGAATAAGAATTGTTGGGCATTTCCTTAGTCTTCTGAGGCTGCATTTATAATGATGAAAAAAAAAGTAAAATTTGAAAAGCTATCCTCTATGACATGGGATTTGGTGTACAAGGAAACAAAAAACTTTGCCTATATATGTTTCTCAAATTCATCAAACAAGCTTTTCAGATCAATTTGTTCTTGTGAAGATTGGTTTTAAGGTCCTGAACAGGACATAGATTACTCTAGACATCATATCCAGTGTCTCAAGTGACAGAATTGGGAATGACTGTGTGATGATGCAAATGCCCCTTAAAGGATGCTCAGGGGAGATGGGGTCTAATCAAGATCATGCTAAGAGAAACCACCTACTGAAAGAGAGCAGATAAACCATCTGAGACACAGAGAAACTTGGCACGCCTCTTTCTCGGAGGTCACTACGGCTATGGGTTTCTATCTGATATATCCATTCACTAGGGTTCAAGAAAACATGTCTTGCTGTACTTGATTTATGTCTTATCAGATGCCTTCAACACTAAACCTAGGGATCAGAGATACGACTGTTTCAGCAGTAGAAACGGGTTATTTGTTCCTCTTCTATAAATCATCTGGGTGGACAAATGAAATAAACAATGATTACACCTAGATTCTTACAATGAACATTTATTTGGTGCGTGAGAGAAGGGTAGTTAACAAGAAATCAGTGATAACCTCTATCTTTCTCCAACACTTTGGTCCCAGGGTAATATGGTCATGTCAGTCTATCTTCTCCAGGTTGAATGGACCGACAATGCAAGTGTTGGGAGTGGCTCTTCTTGGATTGTAGCTTGGCTGCTACTGAGTCCCCCCACAAAGGTTCTTGTTATGGGGAAAGTGGAGGTGCAGCACTTCATCTCACCTGGCATTCAAATATGCAGATTAAGATACATCAATTGCAATAACCCCAGCCTGTGGCATGGCTTATTTTACTAGTCTTGTGCTGCACTTCTTTGTCAGGGATAGGATCCTGTTCCTTATAGTTCCATGTCCCTCAGGTTACTGCATTAGTATGGACGTACTCCTAGTTAGACATTTACTCGTTTACCCCTAAGGCCCACTTATTAGAGGCAAAGGTTGCTTGTAAGTTGGCTCAATTACTTTATCTTGCTCACCAAAGAAAAGTTTAGTAACACTAAAAACTACATAATATTTTTGGTTATCATCCTATAAAGAGTACAAGATTATCTTTAAGTCATTTGTACGAAAGAATATCCAAAACAAAACAAACTCAATATCTGAATCTAAATGTATTCAGCTTGATTTGCATATTACCTTTTACTAAGACAAGATAATTACAATGATAATCTTTGATAAAATATGAAGTGTCCAAAAAATACATGTACTTTTTATTTTGTAAAATGTAAATTACTTAGTAAAATAGACACTATATTTCTTATCATTAAAACCATCATCAACATCATTATTGTTACTGATACACAGAAGCACCACATAGCCTAGATGTGCTTGCAGTTTAGTTTTCTACATATGGTGGGGGAGGGCAGGGAGAAATGTTAGCAATTCTAACATCACTGCCAGCGCCAAGGAACTGCCCTAGAACAGTGCCCTTACTTATGGCTCTAGCAAGATTAATTTACAACCCACATATTTATCATAATTTAATTGCAGCTTCTTGTTTCTCTATGCTAACACAATCTAAAGAATACATCAAAGATAAACTCTAAAAAGAATTCTTCATTTTTAAGGAGTTCCATTATATATACATGTATAGCATCTGTACAATGTTATAATCCATCATATTTAAAATTTTATAGTAAACTTTCCCCTCCTTGACCTTATTTACAATTTGTAGTTACCTTATCTAAATTTAGATTATTACAGTTAAAACAGCACTATATTTACATATGCATGTCTAACATTTACTCTAAACATATGATGTTCTGTTATAAACTTTGCTTTCTCTGCCTTCCCTATTGACCTGTTTCCATTTGTTTCTCTAAGAACTTTAAGGATCAGATTACAAAATGTGCGTGCACAGATACAAATATAATCATTCTCAAAATGTAATTATGATCTTTTAGCAGTAGCAATATGAGTGTGATTTGGATTAAATAATTCTTCTACATATTTTTAATTCTATTACATATCATGGTAGAAATATTGATTCCCACCACTCTGGAAATGCATATTGCATATCCTGGAATTTAACAAAATTACTAAGTGCCTAGAATGTTTATGATTTGGAGTTTCAAATTAAGATTAGTGTTATAAGCATGTTTCTAGTTTCTACTTAAAGGTAATTTATTTTATTTTGCACTACAAATATTATTCTTATTCCCAAACATCATACTTCCTTGTTATCAACAAAATCTCTAATAACAACAATGCAATACTTTTTCATTAAAAAAAAAAGTTAGGCTTTTAAGCTATGAAGTCATGTTTTTTTCACCTATGACTTTAGTTGCTCAATTAACTTTTCTATCAATATTTTATAGATCTTCTACCTAGTTAATTGTAATTTATCTTGATTTCTAAAAAGCTACATGCCTTTCCCCACGTATGAGTTGAAATTACATCTTTTGCATATAAAAGGAAATAATTTATATTCTCCTTGAAAGAATATTTGAGACTTTAAAATATTGGTAACCAATGTTTTAAACAAAAATGATTACTTTGTAAATTATATTGGCTGACCATGGTGAATTATCATCAAAAGCAACCTGTTCTAGGGAAAATTTCAATTATGCTCAACAACACTTAAAGGAACCCAGTAGAAAAAAATAGTGGAAGTGAAAATTGATCTTCAAAGTCTCCTCATTAAGTTATTATCTTTGAAAAGGCTCTGGAAAGTCTACTCCGTAAAGCTAACGAATTTTCTCTTCTTAAGGAGCTTTTAAGATGCCACAGTACCTTCAAGGCTGTCTGTCTTAGCTTGTTGTTTCCCAGAATCAAAATAAATGAGTGACCTGAAGGAAAGGTATATACTGCTAACATGACAAACTTTGTGAACCTGTTCTTCCAAAATATAAAAAGTGTCCAATTTGTCAATTGTGTGAAAAAACAATGAACTATGAAAAGGAAGAGGAAAGACATCATCATTTTCATGGCCCTTTTATGGGCCTGTATGCTGGAGTCCCTCGAGCCCATCAAGTTGAGCCGCAAATTTCTGGTGTGTCTTACCAAGGACAGAAATAAAAGGAGCAATGAGGTCAGAGACAAAACAATAGGGACGAAATAGGTCAGGCTAAGAAGAATCAGGGTTTGAACATGGAGAGTTTTCCTTTCATCTAAATATAAAGTCAGATTACTTTTATCTATTTTACAGATATTCAAGAAGAAATCATTTAATGTTTCTAGCAATAGAAAGTCAAAAATCAGAAACAACAAAGAAAATACAAGAATCACAAGAACCACTCTGTTCATCCTCCACTTCAGCCAGAGGAAAAGGGAGTGGGAGAAGTGAGCTATCTTAAGGAGGTAGAAAACACTTAGGCAGGTAGCAAACCAGGCAGTGAAGTGATTAGTCATTCTCCAGAGCAAACTAATGGGTTTTGCTAGTTTATAAATGCCATATAAATACGAAGGTAGTCCCAGCATAAATGATTCAAACAATAAAACCAACAGCTGAGTGATTCTGGAGATAGCCAAGCACGTAAGGATGAAGTCAGCTAAGGAAATCTTTTGGTTCTTGATCCATTCGGAGCAGTTTACCAGTCCAATGAACACATTCCCGAACATTCCGATTATGAATTCCACTGCTGCCAGTATCAGAAAGATTTTATCCAATACAATGAACATTTCCATGAAAAAAAATCCAGACTTCTGCTATGTCTCAATGATCAGTTTATATTCAAACTGTTACAGAATAGCATCCATTTTTGATACTTATCTTCATTGCTTTTATTGCAATTCCAGTCTTAAGCAGAATCTCCTGCTGTTGGATACAGTCTCATATATACTTAAGGAAATCTTTCTGCTTTCACTGTAATTCCGATCTTAATCCAGCACAATCTGCTAAGGTATACAGTCTCATATACTTTCATGAAAATGTTATTATTTCTTTGAAAGAGCCACTAATTTCCAGACTAAACAGTTTGTGCATCCGTTTATCATTGGCAACAACTTAAAATTTCCACTCGTGGTAATGATAAAAAAGTTAAAGTCAAATATGTAAGCAGGCAAATAAGGGCCAGATTCTTTTTCACTGATTTGTACATCCCTCCTCACCTGAAATACTATACTATTTGGATCCAAATATCTTAGTTGTTTTTCATAGAAAGCTCTGAGCTCTGAAACCAAGTTAATGTGAAAGACTCCATGGCTAACCCCACCCCCCACCCCCCCACCCCTCCCCAACCCCAGCTTATTCTTGCAATGTGCTTTAGAGAAACACTTAGAACTGCATGAGTAGCCAATCAGTAGACAGAATGACTTGTTAGCAGAAGATTTAAGTCCTCTGTCTAAACCATTCCTTCTCTCTCTGGTAAGAAAATAACTAATGTTTTCTTAGATTCCTTAGGAATGTTGCATTCAGCAGATCCAAAACTTTTATCTATGGAGAGGCAGCCAAGGGTCTGTGGTCATTGGACACTTGGCACTCCAGAGCCACCTGCTATTTCCCTGCTTCTTTAGTTACATTCCTATGTAAATATTGGTTTCTTTAACCTTTACCTTCACATGTGCATGAAGCAGGTGTTGAGATTAGAACACTGACCTCCCCTGCCTCACACAACACAAATAAAAGTTATGAATTGTTAGAGCCCAGGTGGCTTCATGCTAACATTTTGGCTAATTACGGGTCCTCTGAAGTTTATTATAGGGAAACTGATGTCCAGAGGATATCAAGAAGCTGAAGCTTCCTAGACCCCTTCCTAGACCTTCCTGGTGCCAGAATCCACCATCCAGAAGGCAGACAACCAAAGACCCCTACCTTGGAATCTCTTATCTTGCCATCCTCCTCCCTGCAAGCAGCCTCACATGGTGAAATGAAGGCTGGTGGGAAGGTGCCAACCTGCAAGGCCACAGGCTCCCCCTCCCTAGAAGCAGCTGCATTCCTCGCAACCTTTTAAAATCCTTACCTCCCATCTTTCAGGGAGACAAATTTGAAAGCTTACTTCTGTCTCCCAGCTGATGACACTGGAAATAAACCTCTTTCCTTGTCATAAGCCTGGTGTTCCAGTTTTTATTTTAGCCCATCTTGTGTGATGGATAAAAAGAACTTTTGTTTGTTGCCAGTAACAGCTCTAGAAATAATCTAAATAATTTAGCTATTCTTCAATGAATATATTTTGTGAGTGCCTGCTATGTGTCAGACCCTTTTCCAAATACAATATAGGTTACTACAAAAAAAGAAAGCATTAGGAAATCCATAAAATAGTGAAAACTCAAAAGAAACAATGAGATAGAAGTAAGAATATAACATAATGTGAACAAAAAAGGTAACTACAAACATTACTGTCAAGGAGAGAAAGGGAGGTGATGTTTGCCTTTGATAAATAAATGGCACGCCATAGGATATACTGGAGTATATGAGGAAGCCATTTGGTGTAAAACTAATTCAGCCTGACTGTGTTTTTCCAAAAGAGCTTGACATGGCCATTGAGCATGCGTTGTATATCTGCTTTAAGCATTTACTATGTCCCAAAGGCAAGAATAAATGTCCTTAAGATAAAGATGTAACTTCCCCCACATTCACATTTCCTTAAGGATAAGCATCTTTCCCTAGGCTAGGAATTGATTGCTGCGCTCAACCTATAACCACCCAGCTCGAGACAGCAGAACTGCTACCTGCTGTGTCCATCAATTGCTGTGCCAACAGGGCAATCTTGTGACTATTGTAAAAGGGACATTGCAATCATATGTGATACACACTCTTTGACTGTTTATAACCACTCTGTACATCCACACGTCTTTGGAGTGCTCCATTCCTTTGTGAAAGGACTCTCCTGGGCTATATGGCCCTCAAATATGGCTCATAATAAACTCACCCCAATTTTGATTTTTAGATTGATTATGGATTATTTGCATTGACACCTTGGATTTTGAAGATATTAAGAATTTCATGAGAAAACTGGTAAGTCATATTTTGGACAGATTGAACAATTTACAAAAAGTAACCAAAACCTGAACTACTTTTCTGAAATTAAAGTCTTCTGATAATTTACTGTAATTTCCATCTAAATATTCCTCAGGTATCTCAGAGTAACATGTTTATAATTAAAAATATTCCCCATTTGCTCTTTATCTTTGTAATACTTGTTCTATTTGTTTTGGCCAGAGGCATAATTCTGTCAATTTAGACTTAATAGACAGAAAATAGGTAGAAAGTCATTTCAAATGAAATAAGGAAATAGTAAACAAAAGCATCTGTTCTACATTCAGGGAACAATGATTTTGATCAAAGCCCTTAATGCATCAGAAATGAACTCAGAGTTATAGACTTTGTGTCTTGGTGTGTCAGTAAACAGATATTCTATTGTTAGCATTGTGTTCAAGCCTTGCCATTCGACATCCAAAAAAATAAATGAAATTATTAAAAACTTGACCCTTTTCAATGTTGCTGCCACACTCCTCAATTACATTCTATTAATTTTTATAAGTGTATATTTCAAGAACAACGATGTGTAATAAACTATTGGTAAATTATTTTGTATGAACAAAATTATTTTAACTTAGGACAAATATTTAAAATTATAGGAAGAAAGAGAGAAGTAAGGGAAGAAAAAAGAGAAGGAAGAAAGGAAGAAGGGAAGAAATTTATTGAATAAAGAAAAGCTGAATGAAAATAAAGAAATTTGGTAATATTTTTGAGAAGAGAATGATAGCTTTGACTGGATTAATGTCTAGAGATGGAGAGAAATTCATGGCTATGAGAAGTATTTAGGGGGTAGAATCAGCAAGGATTGGTGATGGATTTAGGGGCTATAAAAACAAAAAGAAACCAGCAATGACATTCAAGCTTCTCCTTTTGCACCTGAATGCATGGAGTACTGGGACCTGAGGGAATCTCTGGAGGGAGAGTAGGTTTAGAAGCCAACTGGTAGGAGAAAGAAGAAAAGTTGGAAGATGATAAGTTCTGTTTTGAACATTTTGGATGATCTGTAAGTCATCCAAGTGGAAAGATGGAGTAGGCACTTGCGTATTTGTGACCGCAGCTCAGATAAGGAATTTGGACTACAAGCAGAGATTTGGAAATCATCAACACATTCTTGATTCCATAAGAGGTGATGAGCTCCAGGGGCCTGAGAAACACCAGAGGATGAAGAAACCAAAGAAAAGAGTAAAAAGCAGTCAGATAGAGGAGGGAAACCAAGAAACTAGAGGGGTTTTTTTTGGCTGAGGAAGATTCACCCTGCACTAACATCTGAGCCAGTCTTCCTCTATTTTGTATGTGGGTTGCCACCAAAGCATGGCAGCTGACAAGCAGTGTAGGTCCACATCCGGGAACCAAACCTGGGCTGCCAAAGCAAAACGTGCAGAACTTAACCACTAGACTACTGGGCTGGCCCCAAGAAACTAGAGTTTTGAAGCAATCAAGAGCAAGGAGTGTTACAAGGCGAGAGTAATCAATATTTCCTTATATTAATAAAAGGTCGCTTACAAGTAGGTACCAAGGAGGTCATTAGTTAACATAGCAAGAACAGTTTAACTAAACAGAATCCAAACTGCCATAGATTACATAGTCAATGAGATCCCAATATTGAAGCATTAGAAAACAGATTAATGTAATCAATATATTAACAGATTAAGGGAGAAACACCAGGAAAAAAAGTTTAATATAATTCTACATCTATTCATAATAAATATTTTTAGACAACTGGGAATAGAATGAAATATTCCTTTCCTTGATAAAAAGTTGTCTACAAAAACCTAGAGTCAATATTATACCTATTGATGACACATTGAAATCATTCTCCTTGAGTTTAGGGAGCTTTTCACCAATTACAGTAAGGTAAGAAAATCACATTAAAGATATAAGGTTGTAAAGCACAAAACAAAAGTTCTCATTCACAGATTATGATTGAGATTACATTGAAAATCCAAATGTATTCTTCAGTATATTGTTAGAATATGATAATCTAGCAAGGTTTCTGGACATGAATTAATGTGCAAAAATTATTCCATGTCTTCATACTATCAACAGTTAAAATGAAATATTCTTTTAAAAGGTAAAGTTACCATAACCTCAACAGATATCAAATATCTAAGAATAAATCACACATACAAAAAGTATGCAAAACCTGTATGAGAATATTAAAAAATCTGAAATGGTCTTACTTTGTTTAGCCATACAATTGGCTTGTAATTAATGCATACTGGATATAATCAAACACTCTAGATTTTTTTTTTTAATTTATCACAAACATTTTCCCACTTTAGGTATGTTATCCAAGGACATTAATTTCTCTGACTGCTTTGTTGAATATATTAAATTTTCTTGCTTGGTATTGTGGAAATTAATAAACAGAAACCTCATTAAAATGGAATCAGGAGCCAAGAGGGGGAGCTCTCAGAGTGACAGCAGAGCCCAACAGGAGGAAGAAGCTTCCTCTACTTTACCAGTAAGCAGCTCAGCCAATGAGAGACTGTCACAGTTCAGCCAATGAAAAGCCACTACACTTCAAACTCCCAGTCTCCTCCAATGGGCTCTGTTTGCAATAACCCTCCCAACTTCCTCTTCCCCTCCACACAAGAATTTCTCTGCCCCTTGCTGCTCTGACTTGCTTATGGCTCGCCATGTTTGCAGATCCAAATTGCAATTCTTTGCTGATCCTGAATAAACCCATTTTTACTGGAGAAATAACTGGCTGTCTATTTGTTTAAGGCCAACAATATCTAGAACATGGATTTGTCTCAAGTCTAAAAGCAACTACTTCTAATATAGTATTGGCCATGCCTAGCTGCGTGAATACCGGAACTGTTCCTTTCACCTGGTCCAGTCACGATATTTTTTCTTTTTACCATAGCTATAGGCTGCAATTTTCTATGTGAGGTGATAGGTGACAAGATGATCTCTTGTTTGCTCATATGCAAATA